ATATTAAGGGGGGGAAGGGGCAAGGGGGATGTTTTAGGGGGGGGGGGGGGGGGGAGTGTAGTTCGCGTCTGCAAGACTATCGGTAGACGGGAGTTTTGGGGGTTGGTGTTGCCAGGGCGAAAGGCTCGCGATTGGTGTTAGCGGTGTATATATTACCGTTTCGACACTCCTCTTACTCCGTATGTTTTTGTTCCCTTCACGAGCAGAGAACACCGATATGGGAGAAATCTGGGTCTACGGCCGGAGGCGAAAAGGGACGTAGTCGTGGGTGGGAAAGGGAAAAAGGAGGGGAATCGGGTGCAGGGGGGCTGAATGTTGGGTGGTCTTTAGCTGTAGAAGCATGCCGTGCTGAACGGAAATTAGAGATTCGTCTGCCACGTCGGATTTGGCGGAATCTGATTGCGTCCGTCCCTCTCTCGATCCCTCGAGGGGTATGGAGCGGTGTCAAGAATACGTTTGTAGTTTGCACATTGCACGCATGGTCACCATGCCAGCGTACATGCAGTATGGGTTAGCTGTTGGATGGTTACTACGTTGTTCCGCGCGTCGCTTGTGGCGTCGAGAGCCGTGCCGGTCCATGCCGTTATTTTTGTCGTAATCGAGCCCCTCTTCTCCTGCACGACATGTTCGTTCCTTTTACGTTGAGTCATGTCTCGGGATGGGACCCAGGGGTGGTGGTGGGGGGGGGGGACCAAAGTTTGTACATATGGGGTCCTTGGATTTGTTTTTGGGAAAGCCCCTGGTATTCTCGACAAGGATTAGTGGCCGTTTGTTGACGCCGACATCGGTCACTCTGAACCTGGAGAAGCGAACAGATGCCCTGGAAACGCCGCAGGGCCGCCCCTAAAAGACAAACCATAGTTTGGAGGCCACTCGACCAAGGTTCCCACTGCTGCTCGAGGCGTGTACCACGTGTTTCCCTGTCGTTTCCTGGTGCGGTGAGACGTAGTTCTGGTTTTGTATGTTTGGCGTGTGATGACTCCGCAGAGCAACTGATGGTAGGTCCGTCGTATCTATCCTTTTATCTTGCCTTCAAGGGCGATGTAGCGTTGACCCAGCTGGAGCGAGTTTGTTGCTGAATGCGTGGCCCCCGGGCGATGGTGGTGCTTTCTCTCTGTCTTACGGCACATAGTCCTTCGTACGGCGTATCTCTGCTTGACTAGACTAGCTGGCCAATACATACTGATGGCAAAAAAAATGGAGCGGATGGGGGGGGGCGCGGGGGGGGGTGGCGACTTTCACCCAACGAGGTGGTGGCCTGGTGGTTATCGCGTGCAAGTTTTGGCCTATGGCAGAGGATGGGTCGAGTGTGCGTGCTCGGCCCAAAACTGTTGTCTAATCTGTTGCCTAATCTGTTGTCTACTTGTAGGCATCGTGCTTACCATCTCCACTATGCAGTTGTTTCTGTTTCTCCAGAAATTGTTGGTAGTTGCTGTCTCTGCATGGTTCTGTATATAGTTCGTAGGATATGGCGTTTTATTGCCCCGAGCCATGTTGGGCAGCAGCAGTAGCACGTAGGAGTAGTGGTGCCGAAGCCGAGGAACATCGGTAGGTCACAATAATAGATTGTTTGCCTTTTCCCAAATGATACAGTATCGATCCGTTTCGTTTGTTCCTGGCACACACCGCAAGCCCCTTCGACGTTCCAGCAGGCAGGGCAGGCGGCGAAGTTTTGTCGGGCCTCTGGCGGAGACAGTGCTGTTATTTCGTCCATTCATCGGGATCGGCGACTGTTGGGCCATAGACGTACAAGCGCCTTGGCTACGCATGCTCTTCGAGCCTTCGCTTAGGCAGCTATTCTCCGTTTCTGAGAATAAGCAAAGCCCATTTGAGACAGTGGCAAGGCTACAATAATCAATAGTTCTGTATCTGGCAGGTCGTATTTCGTTTCGACATCGACAACCAACCGTTCCACACTCCACAAACTGGACGCAACGATTTCTCTCATCGGCTCCATTTCGGGATCAAAATTACCTTCATCTGTGTCATTTTCCCCTCCAACTAAATTACCGTAAGATGCGGCATGCTTTAGACCTTCTCGATACTTCCGTCAGTATTTTTGGCAAAGTGCCGCAGCGTTGTCGTGCGGTGGCTACCTTTTACCTCATTTGACCTATCTCGCAGTGGAAAAAGACCTCTCCAGCAGAAACACTGCAACCACATCAAATTGTCTCGCGACGCATCCAAATTTCGCGACGTGGCTCCTCAACATGGGCAATTGTTCGGCAATCGTCTCCCTCGTGTGATGTCGAGGCGAGAATGGCGTCCGAACGTCCGAACCGTCGTTGCACAGCGGCGAAGGGCCACAAATCCCGACACGAGAATCGATCAAAACGCCCACGGCTTCACGGACACCAAGCCATCAAGCCTCATTCTTGACTAGGAGGTCGACCAGCTGCTTCCACTTCGTCCCCCAGTGGGCCTCCTCATCGATCATTTGGCTGTAGCGCTCCTCTATTTCGATGATGTTGTTCTGGGCGTGGACGCCAGTGGGTGACAAGGTACACAAGCGAACGAATACGATTAGCGACGACGACAAGTAGACGAATGTTCGCATGAAGGGTTGGTCATGCTGAACAGTTTCTGTTACAAACTGGCGGTTTATGGGCTGGTTCGACGGTGGTAACGGTGCTCTGCGGCTCTATTGAAGCCGAAATCAAACCATTAGCCTATTATAGTCAGCCAAACCATTAGACAAGTCAGCGATCACTTGTTTAATGGTATGATTTCGGCTTCTAGATTATTTAGTTCGTCGTGGGTTCGAGACCCAGACTGGACACTTCGGGGTGGTTTTTTTCCCTGAGACCCTGGATACTCCCGGTCAGAGTATGGGTCACGGAAGGACTCATCTGATACCCTAGAACACTCTGCAGTATGTGGGTGGCGAGCGGTATGAATCGAACTAGTGATTGGACGGATAGTGGCACCGGAAAGGGGAGTCACCCTCCTCGAAAGTGAAAGTGCCCGGGCACACGATTCCCACGACTAACTTTTATTGAAGCCGAAGATAGTCTTATGGCTTGATTTCGGCTTCTGTAGCTCACATCTTATGGTTTGATTTCGGCAGAGTATCTCCGGTTTTCCGGAAACGGTAGGCACACTGGGTTCCCGATACCTTAGAAAAGGTCATTCAAAGAACGTCTATGGGCACCACTGCAGATACACTTCAGAATGCAGCAGTACGGCTGACAGCATGTCGACCGCGAGAAAAGAAGGATGAGAAAAGACAAACGAACCAGAAAAAAATCCCTAGGGACGGATGCTGGGGGGTGAACTTTTAGGGTGCACTCGTGCACTTTGGGGAGAAAACGTGTAGCCCTGTTTCGGTGATCTTACGGCGAAATGGGACGCGGCCAATACGTTTACGTAGAGTGTGTCGCCCTTATTCCCTACCCAAAGGTGTAAGATTGGGTGACCCTCTTTTACCGTAGCATTGCTAGGTTCGACCGCACCTTTGCTCTATCCGCCAGGCCCAAGATGATCTCGTCCCTCGTCGCCACTGCTGCCCTGTGAGCTGTGGTGACGAACGTTTCGGCCTCGAGCGCCTCGCGGACCCCCTCCGCCCACGTTTTCACCTCTGCCTCTCTGTCTGCCGCCCGCCTCTTCGCCGCTGCCACCCCGTCGTCTTCTTCCACCTCCTCAGCACCCGCCGCGGCCGCTGCTTGCTTCCCCTTGCCGCCGCCCTTCCCCTTCTTCCCGTTGGCTTTGCTGCTCGCTCCGGTACCCTTTCCCGCCACTGTTGGTTCTCTTGCTATCGACGCTTCGTCGTCTGCTCCTGCCACTACCTTCGTGGAGTCGCCGGCATCAAGGCCTGCGAGCACGGCTCTGAAACTTTCTGTGGCAGATGCCATCCCTGCCGTCGCTTCCGTGGTTGTCCCTGCCGCCAGTATCACGCGAGTGAGGTCGGACAGGCCGATCGTTCTCCAACGCCGGCGCTCCCATTGACGCCCTTTCCCCCTCATGTCGGTACGTGAGGGGAGACCGCCGTCGTCACCGTCATCAGCGGCGGCGGCAGTGGCAGCGGCGGTTGATTTCTTGCTCCCTCCTGCCGGCTGACTGTCTGCGATGGAGGCTTCCTGTTGTTGCTGCTGTTTCAGGAACGTGCGCTCGGCCTTCCTCAGGCGCCGCAAGCCTCTTCGCTTCGGCTCGAGATCGTCGTCGCCCGGAAGCTTACCTAGGTCATCCACCATTACCACACTGTGTTAGGGGTAGATATAGATGGAAAGAGGGGGGGGGAGAGAGAGAGAGAGAGAGAGAGAGAGAGAGAGAGAGAGAGAGAGAGAGAGAGAGATACAGAGATACAGAGATACAGAGTCAACCACGAGAGAAGTGAGAAAATTAAGTGGGAGGGGTGCGCCTGTGCGCTTGCCTCATCCATCTTCGCGTCCAACGTGCTGTAGGTATCACTTTGAGCTATCTTAACCTTGGTGGAAGGGGACGGGTTTCGGAAATACCGTCTTGCGAAAATAGGTGCGTGCGTGCTTTGAAGGACGGAAGATAAATACCTGTCAAGTATTGCGGCGACGCCACCAAAGCAGCAGGCAACCCTGGCCGCATGTGTCTTCATCGCCGCCACCTCTTCCTTCATTAACTCCCGGCTGAACGACAATATCGCCTCGGTCACCTCCGCCGCTCGAGCGGCCTCGATGGCGAGGAGTTCGTCTAGCTCTTCGCGACGGTCGGCGGACCCGAAAGCGGGACGGAGCTGTCGCTGGTGCTTGGTACGGGCTGCGGCCCAGACGGAAAGCGAGCGCTCGAAGTAGGCCTGCTGGTTGGTAAAAGGGTGGTGATGAGCGCTTGATACAAGAAAGGGGCTGAATTGAGGGTGTATGGAAAACAAAGGTGGCTGCGCGCTTCCTACGACGTTTTTCGCGCGTGTCACCTGCTTCGCTTGAAAACTAACCATCGACGCGAGCTGGAAAAAGGGAAAACTTGTATCCCTTCTAAATTGATCCACATCATTTTCAGGTAGTGGTCAAGAATTGTACCCTGAAGCCTGGTGAAAAATACTGGAAGTACACATCATTCAGTTTCGCACCTCGCGCTGTCGCCTTCGAACGAATGCTTGCTGTTCCAGCCTAGAAGATAAGTCGAGCATCATTACCGCCGGAGCGCGAGGTCCGGCCGAAACATCGCGAGGCACGGGGCGCTTGGCCACAAGAAGCTCGAACCGCTCCACCTGTCCCGCAAGGGAAACAGTTGGTCGGTGAACTGCGTGATCCTATCTTCCAAAGTGCACTTACTACTATCGTTTACGCGCGACTTGTTGTGCATGCCCCATTTCTATTTCCAGATGTTTCTAATAAGGTGATGTGTTTAACCACTTGTGAGCGTGATGAAGATGACCTAGGATTTAAACAAGCACGTCATGGTTTCCTCTGTTGGTTCATCGATCTGTCTGGCCAGCGGTGCCAGTATGCCGGTATTGGGAATCGCTTGTACATTTCACAGAGTTAGTAACCAACATAATCTTAGTGGCGAGCCCGTCCTCTCGTAGTCCTGGATGCTTGCACGATGTTGGATGTATCGCCCCCCCACCAGCTGAATGGTTTAAGCTTATGCGGCGTGAAAGTTATGTTCGCTACGAGGTCATTGCGCTCGTTCTTCTTCATCGTTTTCGTATTTCCTGTCCTGTCTGGACGGCGCATGGCCATTCGGCTGTAGGCTGAAGGACGGAGGGTCTTCGTGCCACAGTTTGACTGCACTACAGTATTACAGATGCTTGGGGTGCGTGGCCCATTGTTGGGCAGGCGTGCTGGTGCCACTCGCCGTTACCTCTTGGCTGCAAAACCCGTGCTGCATGCCTTACAATGCGTAGCGTTGCGTATTTTTTCCTTCACTCGGAGCTTCCACCTACACCCACCTGCCCTCTGAGTCGTCGTTTTGCCTCACTTCGGTGCCCGCCGTCGCCCAGAGCACGCTCACGGGATTCCCCAAGCCAGGCCCTGAGGCTCTCCGGGACGCCGGTCTCGTCCAAGAGTTCCCCCTTCCCCTCCGACTCGTACAGGAGGCGTGTTTCGGACCGGCATCGGCCCTCCAGGGAGTCGAGGGCGCCGGCGAACGTTTCCCCTTCCTGGGGCATGAGGGTTACCTGATGCGACCAGTCGTTTTCGAGGGGGCGGTAGTTTCCGTCAGATGCGGGGGCGAAAGAGGAGGGTCTTGATGCTTCGGATGAATGTGGCTCCCGGCACCACATAATGCTTGCGAAGCTCTTGTCGAGTCTGGCGAACCTCGCGCAAAAGCACACCTGTTTCCACTTGGTGCTGGAATGACCTGCGGCGCAACACTACTATACGTAATTGCTCAATCTAGAGCACTAACCAAGAGCAAATCTTCTACTGCGTGGCGCTCCTGGGAGGCTTGGGAGACCTCTTGCATGGTTTTTCATTACCTCAGGGTCGATTTCATCCCCGCCCACCTCCCTCTCCTCCTCCTCCTCCTCCTTCTCCTGCTCCGGGTGATGTGCCCCGTCTTCTCGCCCCACGCCGACGTCCACGTCCACCCCCGGCACGTGTCGGTTCCGATCCACCCTCTCAGGCGCGGGGAGGAACTCCAAGAAAGAGGCGTGTCGGAAGAGGGCCTCTCGAATTGACAGCAACTTGCATCGCAGTAGCTGCGTTAGGGTCCGGTCGTCGTCGTCGGATTCGGCAGGGGCGGAAGACGTGACCGTGTGATCGCTCCTCCTGTCTTGTTCTTCTTGTGGTCGGTTGATGCTCCCACCCCAGCCCGGCGCCTGTGTGCGTGAAGGGTGGGAAGGGAAAGGTGTGGGAGACCATGGGTAGGTGGGTGGGATCCCTTATGTACAGCCGCTCTGCACATGCATACTCACTCGTTCAAAACAACACGCCGGCCACCGCACCTCATCATAGTACCTGCCCCAACACATATCTAAATGAAGGTCTCCCTCCTGCAATGATTCCACAGTCACTGCCACAAACGACACCGATCGCGCAGGAATGGCGTCGAAGTCCATTCTCCAGAAGTCGAACATATCCTCAGACAAATGGCGCTCATTTCTTCTTCTCTCCACACCTTCTCGTCGAGGTTTCCGGCCAGGAATGAGCCGGTATCGCCGACCTGACGGGATACCAGCAACCCATCGAGGTCATTGAGGAGTCGATGTATCGTCTCCGCGCACCTCTCGTCCCTCATGATCACCGATCGAAGCCTCTCCTGGGCGTTCCGGCGGGGGGCACCGTACCTTCACACGTTCGACACAGGGAGAAGAGATCAAAAATAAAAAAGAGTGTCAGCAAGAACAAGAGCAGCAGGTCGGCACGAGAGCGGTTTCAACTCGACGAATGACGAGAGGAAAAGAAAGAAGCGGTTTGCATATCTACATGTGTTGATCACGTTCCAAAGCACAAGGTCAATTGACGAGGGGCGAGGAGTAGCAAGGAGCGGAACTTGAAACCTTTGCCGTTGCGTGCACTAGGGTGTTTGTCATCCTTTGCCGTGGGCGCTCCGAGGATCACCCCACCCAGCCTATACTAGCCTGTTTTTACATGGTGCAGCACACTCACCCAAAACAACATGCTCCCGTCAACGACGACCGGTTCCGTAGTACCATCACAACCAGCTAACGGCAACACCAAAAACGGCGGCCCCCTCTTCGAGAAGAACCTTGTTCAGACCAGCTCAATGCCGGCCCAGCTCTCGCCGGTCGTTTACTCACAGTCGCCACCATCGTAGATTTTATATGCTTGTTGTGGTTCACTCTACGACCGCGTCGTAGGCGATTTGCACCGACGTTTTAGTCACCTTTGTCCGAGCCCCTCGCGAAGCGACAGCTCCATAACGCAGCGCGAGTGTTCCGTCTTGAACGTTGTCTCGTCCTCCGCGCCTAGCTTGTGGTCTTCCCCAGCCTGCACCAATGCCTCCCGCCTCAACGCCACCGCTGCTGAAACCTGTGCCATCGGTGGCGGTAGCGCGGTGACGGCAGTGTGTGGCGGCTTCGGTTTGGTATCCCTTCGTTTCAGGCCTACGAGGTTAAGTTAAGCAAACCCTGCTGTCATGTTGGCGTTCCGAATGGATTCGCATTTTCTGTTTGTCGTGGACGTCGAACGCTGTCAAAGGGACTTGCGGGTTTGTCTCCTCCGGTTCCGTTCTTGAGGTGCGTACTTGCGCGTGCGTACGGTTCCCTATGACCATTAAACTCTCGATTAGAACACTTGCCTCCTCTCGTGGGTCCCGGAGGAAGCTTTCGAGTTCGTCCAGCTCCTGGTCGTCGTAGTCCCCTCCCTCAGCAAACGTCTGGAGATCAACCGGCAAGAAGGACGGGGGGGCGAGAGAAAGCGCGTGAGTGTTTGGGATGTGGTACTGTGGTGCTGTAAGCCGTGTAGTGATGTGGAGTATGTGTGCTGTGGGGTGGGGGGTTGTGCTGTGGGACCCGTCCACAATCGAGTTCCCGAAGATGGTCATGAAAAAATCCAGACGGGAAACGGTCTACAACATTTTCCATGCCGAGCTTTCTACGCAAGGCACGAAACCCGTCGTCGGTAGACACGAATCCTTGCTCGTCGCAAGGAACAGCGAGAGAAACGGACGGCAAACAAGCTTGTCTTCCGCTGGCCGAGCACTCGAGAGCTGTGGTGCGCTGCGAGAAAGCCTACAGTTCTTTTGGTCTGAGGCAAACCGAACGCATACCTATCTTGCGATGTTTCAGCCAAAGGATTGCAGTTGCGATGTCTCTATGTATCGCCGAAGTCTTGTGAGGAAACAACTATGTAGACTACTTTATTATTTACAAATGTTGTGAACATCGTCGGTGACTGTTGCGAGGCATCGCATGAGTTCCCATGAGGCTCCACGACGCTGCATGAGAGTGTGTAGGACTCCGCAATAGGAACTACACATGAAGCTCCACCTCTCTACCCATGGGCCTGTGAGTCGTGAGCCTCATTGAAGGTTCTTGGGTGCTTCATGATTTTGAGTCGTGAGCATCATCGAGGGTTTTTGAGGCGCGCGCAACACGGTAAACATCGTGAAATCCTTTGCCATGGAATCCCTGTCCACATCTATCTCTCGGGGCAGTGGCCACAACATTGCACGCACTTTGCACAGCCTCGTCATGTCGTCGCAGCTGGCGAGCAACCTCGCCGGCTCTTCCCTGATGAACCTCTCCAGCCTCGGTTGGAGAGCCTCGTGCTCTACCTCAAAGCTGGCCACGAGACGCTTGCACCTATGCCCATTTGGAAACGGAGTGCAAGGCGCGTGGCGCACAGAATGAGGTCTCACCGACGGAGAGAGAAATGTACAACACAGAACGGGTGCGGAGACGAACTCCGCCCCGAACAAGTGTGGTTATGAAACACTTCAAACGTTGTCTTGGTTGTCCTTTTAGGTAGGCCTGCAACTATCACATGTTATTGAGCAAACGGTGATCCGAAAGCCATACAGCAAACGAGAGGGCCTTGGCGACCAGTCTGAGGCTTGTTCTAAGAACGGGAGCATGCAGATGCTCTCTCGCTCTCTCTACCTCTCGTCGCGCACACCTCGCGCATACCCTTGTCTTCAATGCACGTTCTGTCGTCTTCTTACCTGGATTCCATGCCTTGCAGCGCCGCGACGCTGGTGGCGTCTTTGAGCCCTTCCGACATGCTTGCAAGCGCCTGCGAGACAACAGTCCAGGAGGAAATGAAAGTCATTGCTACGACAATGACTGGCGTTGTGTACACATGGTCTGGAGGGGGAGATGGTCAACGACTCATACGTGTTCGAAGAATGCTTCGAACCGTTCTTCGTTTCCGGCACGAAGGAACGTTGTACGTGAGACAGCAACGACTGGCCAGCCCCAGCCATTTGTCCGGCATATTGACTCCGCATTGAATCATATTTATGGACCCTCACCCTCCACACCCCCGGCAGAGAATACCGTAGCGCAAGACTAGTCTGAGAATGCCAGTGCCCTTGGTATTCTTGTGGCCGACTTTCAACGGACGTACTCCTGGGGCGAAAGAGTTTGCTTGTTGCTACCGCACTCCTGGCCGCGGGCAATAGAATACTCCTGCGCACGCCACCCCCCTTAGCGAGGCGTGCCAACATGGCTTCGACCACCATTGTGCTTCCTGAGTGTGCAACACTTTTACCTTTTGGAAAACCTCTCGGGCGGACACCCCTCGCTGGAGCTCTTCTCGGAAGGCCTTCTCCTGCTCTGACAACTTGTCTCGGACCTGCCGGACGAATCTACAAAGGTCATGGCCAGTACACAGCGGAGCAGACCAATAGTGAAAGTTTCGGCGTCGGTAGCATTCCTTTTCGACTGCAGATCGGAGCATGTCAGCATGGCGATGCCGACCTTCTTGCTGATCTATTTTCTCTTTCTCTCCCGATCCTCCCTTTCCCCTCTGCCGATTCGGTCGAGGTGATCAAGCTGGACAGCAACAAGCAAAAGCAAAACATCTGTCGAATGTGTCATCAAGTGGTTTATGAAAGCAGGGTCTGTGTGGGTGTTCTATCGTTCCTAACCAGAGTTGGATCAATGGGTTCTGCTTCCTTTCGCCCTGCCTTACCCTGCCCTTTTACCCTTCGGACATAACGATCTAGGCGCAATTAAGTTGATGTACCCACGGTCGCTCTCTTTGAATAATGGTTGTTACGCTGGTGGCCTCGGAACTTCGCGTCTTTGCCTCAAATAGTGCAGCAAAACAGGTAGAACAGCACAGCAGTAGCTTAGAACGCTTCTCAATGTGACCACAGCAGCAAAGCAACGCAACCACTATCACAATCACCCCCTCCATCGCCACCATCAACTACAACAACAACATATGTTCGGACGAAAGTGCACCCTGTTATCTGCTTTTAACGTGTTTGTCGAAGGAGTGCCTGCAATAGAAGATAAGTCAACTTCGACGCAATCCTTTTCGCGTAGTAGCATGTTACCTTCGGGCTTTCTGGCGGTGTGCGTGCAGCTCGCCCTCACGCGGTTGTCGCGACCCCACCTTCATGTTGTATTCGTCAGTTTGAGCAGACAGGCGGAATCCGACAGAAATGGCGTTTTCGAGGGAAAGCAGCAGGCGAGAGGCACTTTCTGGTGCGAACAGTAAGGGAGCAGCTGGAGGAGGCGATTATGGTACATGCCTCAAGGCATGGATTCCAATGCATTCCGTACGATTTGCGAATCTCGTCATCACCCGCCGGTCAACTTGGGACCGATCTGCGAACGAAACATGTGGTAATGATACCGTTACCTGGTCCCAGTTCATCGTATCACGCAGCGGCCTCGATCACTCCATCACTCAGAGAGAGGTTGGTATTAAGCGCTCGGAATGGGGGGACACCGCCCGCGAGTACAGACTCCCATAGCAGGCGAACGCGCCTTTATCATTTTTGTCAGGTTGCCTAACCCCGAAAACAGTTTCACCAAAAGCGAGTACCTTCTAGCGGTTTCAGCCCACCATCTGCAGTGAAAACTTCCACTCTATCGACGAGAGGCAAGACACGTGTTAAGGTAGGGCGCACCGCCGCACCTCTGTCCTCCCCTTCCGCGGCCAGTGCTTTCGCAGCCGCTCCTCGAGCTCCTCGGACAGATATTCCTGCGCCTCGAGACACGCGCTCTCGGCCGCCGCCACCCTGACCGCCGCTCTGGTCTCGGTTCTCGACACCAGATCGTCCCTGAGCGAGGAGAGCAGGGCCGAGGCTTCCTCTACGGGCATCGACAGCTGCGGGACGCACATGCACACAATAACAGCAAGGAAGGTTCAGACAGGTCTGGACACTAACAACCTTTTCAGTTGTTGGCGTTGAACTGAAACGTTGGCTCCTACCTTTGTTTTTTTCGGATGTGAGGGGAACACGATGGGCACATCGTGGTGGGTGGGTGGCGGACCTTTCCGCCGCCCTTGTGCTAGAAAAAGTCTCGGAGAAACGCCTAAACACTACGATCCCGAGTATTGAGCGGATGCAACGCTACCGTAGGTGGAGGAGGTTGCAGAGGAAGCCAAGGGGAAAACCCCCATTTATCGAGCGCTCGCTCCTCCCCGTTCTCGCCTCCAACGTGCCCACCAGCCACCCCCTCCCCAGGAGCGAAATCATCTGCACAACCTGCGACCAACGACGGCATGCTCCCTGGCTGGCTGACAAGAACCGACCTCTTCCATGACCACTTCTCCCGTCGGGTCCCTCGGCACGAGCCTCTCCTCCGCCCGGCGCCGCGCGGCCTCTTCCTTACGGAACTCCCGGTGCCGCTCCACCTCTCGCTTCACCTCCTCGTACGCCTCCAGCACCGAAGGGGGCTCGGGCGCCGTTTCCAGCGCGGCAACCTCCTCCGGGGTTGGTGGTGTCGCCGCCGCTGCTCTCTTGGCCGGCTTCTTTCCCTTACCGCCGCCGTTTTTGCTGCCCTTCTTGGCCGCCTTCTCCGCCTCTTCCTTTGCTTGCGCGCGTGCCGCGGCTTCGGCGTCCGCGGCCGTTCGGAACTGTTCTACCTCTTCTTCGGAGAGCTCCCGGAACCGCCGGTCCCTGGAGAGAGAGAGGGCGAGAGAGAGAGAGAGGGAGGCAGGAAGGTGGGTGGGGAAACGGGGCAGAGAGACGAGGCGTGACAGTCTTCGCCAGGCTTTCCCGGAATGAACGGCGGTCCTCTACTCAGCGCATGACATTGCATCGACCGCGCAAAGATTTGGACGCCTGCACGTGGGAACGCGTGATGCTGTTGGCTAACGTAGCGAGGCCTTTCAGCTCTTGCCCCCCACCTCCCCCAGACACATTGACCGCACCTCCTGTCGAAGTATTCCTCCAGGCCTTCCGCTCCCTTCTCAAGCTCTAGCGCCTGCAGGTCCTCTTCCTCTAGAGGAACGAACCTCCCCCTCCAGTACCTCGGAAGATTTTTTACGGCGGCAGCAGCAACGTCAGCGGCAGACATGGCGGGTTCTCCTTTTCCTTTCCCTTTCCCCTTGCCCTTCTTGCCGTCGCCACCGCTCGCCGCCGCGTCGACTGCGGCAGCTGTTTCGGCGCCCTGACCCTCTCCCCCCTGCGGCGTTGTCTCTGGTCCGTCATGCTCCTCGTTCTCTTCGTCGGTGGCGCTGCCGGTCTCGTCTCCTTCGGTGCCCTCTTCGTCGACAGAGGAGGACAGGAGGTCCTGCGCGACCTCGTGCGGGGTACGGTCGACGACGTAGTCGATCGCACCGGCGGAGGCATCGCCGCCACCTCCTCCCGGGGCCCTGTAGGTGACGGGTTTCGTGTCACTGCTGTCGGCTTCCTCTGGACCGTCAGATGCCAGCGCTGCACCTTCTTCTTCGAGCGCCGAGGCACGTCGGTGTTTGGTGTTGCTCTGGCGCGAAAATTTCGTCGGAGAACGGGGGGCAAGGGGAGGAGTTCTAAACCGGGTACAACTAGGACAAGGCAGTTGGAGGGTCACGTGTGCCGCGACGGGATACAATCTCGGCTTCCCGGCTCCCTTAGGGAAAGTTGTATCATCGCCAAGCACGAAAGCCAAACGTGATGACGTGCGAGAGATCGAAAGCGGCTCCAAGTATCTTTTCTAGAGCGCCGGACGGCGTGCCCACCGTGTGTTGCAAAGAAGCATCCTGAGCGTCTGTCGTACTTCGATGGCGCCTTCAGTGACCCCATCTTCGATCGGAATGCCCATTGCCCTCCGAAGAGTCGCGTACAAGACGGGACAACGACAATAAATGCAGGGCATTTGTACACGTTTCGACTAGTTACTCCCTCCGTGCCTCTCCATCCTGCGTCCATGTTACCGCTATCGGAACCTCTCCGCCAGCTATGCGCGTACCTCCTCTTCATCCTCCGTCACCGCCTCCTCCGTCCCTTCCCCTATTCCGCCTTCGCCGTCGCCGCCCTCATTGTGGGGAGTCTCCGTCGTAGGTGGACGGGGTGGGTGCAGCCCCACCAGAGAGCAAATGGCCGCCCGCACCCGCTCCGCCTCCTGCGCAGCTTTGGCCGGATGTACGGCGGCCGCCGTGAAGGCGGTCTTGTGGTACTCACGGTAAGACTCTTCCACCTGTGGGTTTGGCACCAAAATTTGCACCGCAGGTACACTTAGCGCCCGCGCTTAAGAAACGTCAAAATTGGGGGTCGAGGTTCGATTTCTTTAATTCCTCACCACCGTCGAGCATAGGTCATTGAAAAGAGTGTAGTGTAAAATCCACGGCTGAGGTGTGTTATTTTTGTCGATTTGTGTTACTATTCACCAGAATCTGAGCATTTTTTTCGTAGCGGTTCGCGGGGGCTCACTGTAGCCCTGTGGCCGTGTGACCAAATGTAGGTTGGGATATGAAGGGAGGGAGGTTGGAAGGAGAAGAAGAGGGGATGGGAGACACTAGGAAGGAGGTCGAGGTACCGGTTCGTGGTGTCAAAGAAAGCAGTGGAATTCTCTGCTCGTCAATTTTCCCGGCTCTACTCTTCCCTCTCCAATGTCGCCATCAAAGAAACACATTCCTCTTCATTTTTCTATCCAAATGCGAACTCAACGGAGGTTGGGACGTAGTGGCCCAAACGTTTGAGTATCCTCTGTTTGTACTATGCCTTCCGTCGCCTGACCTGATCGAGGAGGTCGATAACCCTGGCGAACGACGTTTCCAGCTCGTTTTCGTCTGCCGCCATCCTCACCCTGGACGTGGACGTCTTGACTTCGTCCTCCCGATCCTCGTCGGCTAGCCTAAAGTCTTCCTTGCACTCGAACATCTTATTCAATTCATTTGTAGAGGATGGGCACAGGAGGAAAAGTAAAAGTCGAACCAACCGCGAAATCACCAGTACTCGAGAAGAACAGGTGGGTTTAGACAGGGCTGTTGGTGTTGATGATGTCGCCGTCCGTCGCGGCGGGAAAACGCAATTTAGTACCACGGTGCACAATTTCGGCGCACTACAACTTTTTTGCGGGCGCGCGGCAGAAGACGAGGGATTCACAAAATATGGGACAAGGGATGGATGTGCGCGGGATGTAGAGGGGTTAAAAGACGCGTAACACTCATGTGCTTAATGATCCAAAACACGCTGCTTCACTGCCGCACCCGCTGCTCCCCGGACTCGTCGATCTTGGCTTCGATTTCTTCGTGCGTCTCTACTTCCAAGGCCATGGCCGCGAAGAAAGAACAGACACGCTCGGCGCAGGCGTGAAGGCTTTGGGCCCTCGCGTCCATGGAGCGCAAGGCACGTTCCATTAGCAACGACTGTTCCGATAACCTTGCGGTGAGCTCGCCGTCAGCCTGGTTTGGGATTGTGATGTTGCAAGTGTGGTTAGACTGTTGTTGTTGTTGTTGCTAGCCCATGGTGACCAGAGAGGAGCACACGCACGAAAGGGTCAAAAGGTTGTGCAATGAAAGGAAAACCATACGATATGGAGGAAGTGACTCGGGGGCGGATATCTGATTCTTGCCACACGGCCAATACTCTAAATGCAGATGTGAACGGCGCCTCCGATCTACAACCGGGAGAGACGTGTCATAAATCTTTTGCCTGATTGACAAAGGCGGACAATGGAGTCTGTCAGCCACGATTGTGGGCTCAGGACTCAAGCTTTCCCACAATAAAACTTCCAAAAGTCTGTCGAGAAGGGCGCATTCGCGGCACGCGGGTAACGAATCGTGGAGTGGACCGAGCGATTCAAGCGGTCGTTGGGAATGTATGGAATGGTTCCAGCACGATCCCACTTCGACGTACCGATATACCTCGTGGACGTACCGGAATGCCTCGTAGTATCGTTGATAAGTTCTCCAGGGCGCGTCAGACAACCTTCATTTCCTCGCTCACCTCTTGCGACACTACAAGGTCGACGGCTTTGTTGCACGATCGTTTCTGCTCCAGCGCGGCTCGAGTGCTCCGCAGCACCTCCTTGAATTCCTCGCTCAGGTCACTCGCGCATGCCAGCATGCCGAGTCGGCGCTGCACCGCGCGCACCTTGAGCGGTTCGACCCAAGGTAGGCATACATCGATTCCGCATCAGTACGACGGCAAAGCGAAACGGGTGTGTGAAGCTCAGGAAGAGGCGATGGGGCCCTGCCTGGCTCGTCCAGCACTTTTGGCACCATGGTGCGCCAGTATTCCACACGATGCAGACCGAAAACACTGCCCCTGTACGTGCGGGCACCCTCCTACCAATGCTACCCATTCGCTCACCAACGGCCCAACAACCTGCCTCCCGTGGGGTACCTTAATGAAAACGTCAACTAGTTTGGGCAGAAACGCTGAACATGGCCATATTGGCCGCATTTGAAACAATCCTGCTGAGGGCACGCGCGATAAGCATTCTGGGAAACAGGGGGCGTTTCTGGCAGAGGGGGGTGGAGAGGTGCGCCTTCTTTGTGCTTCGAAGCTTCGAAAGTCACGACACGGTTGAAAGACACATTCGGGTGGTTCCAAACCGGAGTGGTTCGCGTCGAACCGAGAACCGCATCGCTTTCTTTTTACCTGAAGCATGTCGATCTCGATTTCTGACTCCCAACCGCCGCCCCTCGAGGTTGTCGAGCGGCGTGGTCCTCCCGTGCTTCTCGAGCCCCCTGGACTGCTTCCGCTGGCGCTCCCTCCACTATCACCGGACACATGAAGAGAGGCAAACAAGTGTGCGGCAGGTTTGAAAGGAAACAATCGGCCGGGGAGTACTAAATCTGTGGGTTGGAAGCAGTGGAAGTGAGAGTGAAAGCGGCGGCAGAGGGCGGCGGTGTAGATTGCAGTACGTTTCCGCCACCGCCGCATGTCTCCATGTCCCACGTTCTGTGGCCTGAGTCATCCACCTCGTCTTATCCAGTGTCGAGAACCCTGGTTCCGGTGGTGGTGTGCTGGTCACCTTTCCAGGGCTCGTTCCTGTGTTCGGTGCGGTGGATGAATCTGTCACACCATGGCATTGCCGCTGAGTCACCCCGCAACGCATGGAAAACCCTGGCTCCATCTACCTTGGCACACTCCGAGCATACATTCGGAGCCACAGGAAACACCCACAGCACCTTTTTGAACCCTTTCCTCGGCTTGACCCCACACCGCTCCTCTTGGAAACCCGGCTCCCGACCGAGGCCGCTCCCCCGCCACGCCCACCGCTGTCACTGTCTCCCCTCCTCTCGATCGTGTCCACCACGCGGTCGATGTCTTCCGTCGCGTGGTCAAGACAGGCAGCAAGCAGGGGGTCGATATCCACCACCTGCTTGTAACGCCACAAGCAATATCGGTCTAGGATGATTAATGGCATCAAGGAGGTAACCTCTGTTGTGCGTTAGCTTCTAACCGAAAGTTAACGTAGCATGCTGGGCACGTGCGGACGCCGGCCTGGGGTAAGAAGCCTGCGGCGGCGTCGCGTGAGAGTGTACAGGAGTACGGCTAACAGAGGACACCGGGCCTGTTCACTTGACAGGGTGGGTACCTGTGAGAGATCTGCCGCTTGGCGACGCATGGCGTCGAGGATGGATGGTATGTCGCTCTTGGGTGCCTTGCGCAGTCGCTCGACCGAGTCCGCCAGACCCCGACGCATGCCCGCCTTGCCCTGTTTGTCGAGAACCCTGTATCACAAGCAGGGAATAGGAGGGGGAACACGTCATTTCCGCGCCAAAGGGTCGCTCATGGCGACAGCCTGTGTGTCGAGGCGCCTTTCGTTTGTTCTGCCTCGACAAGTGCCTTGGTGCTTCATTGCGGTGTATCGGAGGCTTTGTGAAATACGTGTTGTTTAAGAATTAAAGGCCTGTATCCCTCTTCCGACTGAGGTTAGTTTTCAGATGGCGAAAAACGTGGATAACACCTGATCCCAGAGAGAGCTTTGCTTCTCGACAAGAGCGTTTCCCTCTAGAAAATATGGTGAAACCCAGTGCTTTTCCCTCAAACCCGTGCTGCACTCGACATCAGCACAGTTCTGCGGAACGTCAAAGCTTGCCCAAACCATTGCCATTCGGGGCAAAGGAGATGACTCGCCAAGGTTTATTGTTGACTCACAAGGAGAAACAAAGCGATTTAGCCCGACCCCTTCCTCTTTCTTTTTATCTCCCTGATCAGTGAAGTACTGATGTGCGATGATCTATGGTGTTAAGACCGCGACCATGCATGACAAAGGTGCAATGTCCCCCTCGCCCTCGGGACTCAACGTAGGGCACACGCCATTGTTGGCATTAATTCGCCATCCAAGCAGAGAGAAACGAGAGGTGTGATCCGGCCATGTATACACCTGTCGCTTTGTCCCTCACCGCTCAAGATCCACTCCGCATAGCACCAGGTCGGTCCTCTCGATAGCCACTGACAGCCAGCTGTCGTACATGATTTCAGGGCTTCGCATGCCCTGCGTTCATGTTACCCGGTCAGGGCATAGAGTACGAGCAGAGTGGTGACTGATCTATTCGAAAATAACACAGATTTCGCAAGCACCCCTTCATACATCGTAGGTGCGTCTTGCTCTTCCTCAGGGGCGCAGAAGGTTGCCCCGCATGTCCATTGGACTCGGAGCGGAGGCTCGACTCGATATTTTCGTGAAACCCGGAACAAAGCGTGCTTGAAATTGTGATGGTTTATTTGCGTGGCCTGTTGGGAAAAGAGATGAGTTTCGTTGTGCACATGGGAAAATGGACAAACACACTGTGGCGCTCCTCTACCTCTCACAACACAGAAGCGCTGCTTGTTGCCAACGTCCTGTGTATCCAACATCGTTGAGTGCTATCTATGCTTGCACCCCCCCGAAAAACACACCTTCGAACGGCATTGTCCATCGAACACAAACGCTACAAAACCAAACAGCAACGACACCGTCCACCCCCGCCTCAGTCCGCCTCGCCGCGCTTCATCCCTCAACAGCAAGACCGGGACTAACCTGAACCAAAGCTAGCAGCTCGTGCTTGAGCCCGCCGGCCTTCCTCATGAAGTCTTCCAGGCCGCGGGCGTGCGCCACGGCCTCCACCTGCATGCAGCAGGCCTCGAGGTCCGGCTCGGTGCACGCTGCTCCGTAGCCGTGTAACTCCGCCCTGACCGCTTCGCGGCGCGCTTCGGACTCATTCTGCTTTGCTTCGCTGTATTTGTGCCACACGATGTTCCGTTGTGTTTGGTTATTCTCATCCTAGCGACCATGGCGGAAATAAAAAACTAAGATGATGATGCAGTCAGCGGAGAACCTGCCTCTCAGGCTGGCGATGCGCGGACGTGGGCACCGACAGCAGCCGTTCATCGACCGGTTTCCTGGATTGTCCCGGCATGTCGAGACGACATATATCGACCGACCAATGTTTCTCCCGGATGACTTAAGCCAGAACGACACGCAAGGGCGAGACTACGCGAAGAGCTCTCCCAACGATGCTGCTGTGAGACGCTACCAAGCCGACGATGGTGTAAGGCATGCTCTTTCTGATAAGCTTGTCCTCGCCTCGGGCTTCCTTTCGGCCACTCTTCGTTCTTACGAACCACGGAACCCCTCACCGTATGCTCCCGAGACCTTCTTGCGCGGCCAAGATGGCTGCGATCTCTTCCCCGTGCAAGATCGCGTACGCTTCTCGAACCTCGCGGACGGCCGTCGTCGTGAGCCGCCCCTTGCAGATGAATAACAGAAAACACGCCCGGAGGACCGCTTCATCCCTTACTGAAGCACGTTTTCAGCTCGAAGCAGCGATGGACCCCGTGTGCACAGCGGTACCATGGCACTAAACAGTCACCTTTGGTCTACACCAAGGAAGTCGTTTTCCGAACCAAATGCGCCAGAATAATTGTTGGCTGGATTGCAAGCCAGGCGTGCTTGACAAGTAGCGAGTGGACTGACATACAAGGAAAAACAGCTGGCTTCGCTCTTGGGTGCACTGACGAAAGGAACACCAACCCCGGCCCCAACTGTATGTCGAAGGGTTCGGACATGCCTAGAAACAAGACTTTTTGCGGACGCCATCTTTTGGACAAAACCCCGCATGGCACCTCGTCTTGCTACAACTGCGACAGAACCCTGACTAGGCACGCACACCATTTGTCGTAGTGACAAAACGTATCCACATGTCCCCCCACCTCTGATACATCGTCCGCGACTGCCCCAGGAGCCGATGAATCGACGGGCCGCCGATGACAGAGACCCCTCAGCAAGGCCACTCGCTCTGCGTGTCGCAACACCTGCCCTTTCTTGAACTCCCTGAACAGCGCCACGCGCTCCGGGGGATTGGTGAAGTTCGGCGCTGTCAGGTCTGCGTGGAAGTGTACCAACGCGCGGTCGTGTCGCAATCGACGCCAGTCCTCCCTTCGAGTCTCCCACACCCTGGTTCCAAAAGAGGGAGGGAGAGAGAGAGAGAGAGAGAGAGAGAGAGGGAAGGAGAGAGAGAGTAAGGGGTTTGGTTCGAACGGTTAGGAGGCAACCACTGAGCGGGGTCAAGGGGAAACTGCACGTGCAAGCATGGTGCCCGAGGAGGAAACATGGGTGTTCGTTGGTGGGCCCGGACGAATAATGGCAAAGGTGACCGATCCCAAACCACTTTTATTGCAGTGTATGCTACCGTGAACTCGGCCTAGTGGTAACCTCCCTCGGTTGAAATCATAGCACAAGGAGGGCATATTCGAATGGTGCAAGACGGTCTCGAAACGTTTGTGACCGAGGGTTCAATCAAGGGCTAGGGAGCCAAGGTCATGATGATGCTCTGCCGTCAAATACTTGTTTGGGACCCACGAAATTGCCGGAACATGTTCAGGCGTGAGTTAAGCTGCCTCCTGTGCCCTGCTCACCACTGTCCCGATCGAGGCCGCCATGGTCTCAAAACGCACCTTCGAATTCCCACCGCGAAGGAAAAATCTCGTTTCTCCATCGTTCCCAGGAGCTCGGCATGGGCGAGGCGGTTGCTGATAAGCACCCCGTTGAGCTCGTGAGCGTGTTCCTGGCGACAACCACGAAACACAGGGTAGGCACCGAAGTCGGTATTTCCAACGAGCAATATCATTACTTGCGTGATATCATCCTATCCCAGCGTGTATCCTACGAACCCGAATAGCCGAAGGGATCTTCCCGCCGGCCTCTGCAGATTCCAGAATAGTTGTACTGATCCCGCTATCAATATGGCCGCGTTTAGACTACCCCCTCCACCTTAGTAGTTCCATACCGACCTCCGCGATTCGCTCTATTTCGTCCGGCATCCTGAACGCGATAGCGATCATGTCATCCACCAAACGACGAAGCTCTCCCCCGACAGCCTCTGATCGGAGAATCTCGACGCGCTCCAACCCCTCTCGAAACTCCTGGATGCGGCTAGACCGACGGTTGCACTGCGCTTCTAGCTTAGACCAGATCTCCTATTACGGGTGTTGCGGACGGAACAACGGAACGTTGAGGGACAAATAACGCAGGCTTCCGTGACAACGTTTGGGCACGGGATCCCGGGGGGGTTGAGCAAGGAGTGGGGCAAGGAAGTTGATGGAAGCTGTTCTGGGAGTTAATTTGCCCTGGCGGCCTACAAAAACGCAGCCTTCTGTAGTGCCTCAATAAATCTTCGCACCAACTGTTCCCCTAACTCCAACTGTTTTTCGTTTGATGTTACCACGCATCTTGTTTCCCTCCACAAGATTGCTCCGCCGCTGTGCATTCCATGCACCGGTGCTTCAAATCGGCCTTGGGCATAGGTCGCAATACATCGCGCTTTCCCCGATCCGATCAATCCAGTACAGAAAGGCCGGTCTCTCCTTTCTAAGACCTTGATCATCCTTGCTTTCAACAACAAACAACTTTGACGCCAATTTTCTTTGAACTAGATATTTTCCAACGAGCGCGCACGTCACCACTCTCCTTCATCACACAACCACGGTGGACAACAATTGGTTCGTAGCGGATGCGCCCTGAGCACGACGCATCGACATACCTCGACGTACGCCATGTCTCCTTGAACGAGTTGATCGTCCGCACCCAGCTCTGCCCGTATGGTGGCAACGGCTTCCTCGGCCTCCTCTAGGCCGTCGCGGAGAGCGTAGCTTGCCTCCAACACTCTCTGCTCCATGTCCTCAGAGATGGCGCTCACCCCGGCCTCGAACGTCTCGATGGCTCGGGCGTCGCGCTCTCGCCGCTCTGCCTGTGCGTGTCGCGTGTGCGGTTGTCACACGTGTGCGCGCCCGAAGAATATTCACTTCAGTTGGTGGTGTTTTGTGCCGGTATGGCTTTCGTCTAGGTCTCGGCACAGCTGTAGTGGTGTGGGGCGGAAGATCGCGGCAAACGCTGTTGCCTCATGTATCGGGCACTAGAACTCGCGGCCGTGCGTTAGGTCAGACGGAAGGAAGGGCATCTGTCTGTAACCAACAACCGGATACTGCCGAGGATGAGCCGGCTGTAAAACGGCACTACAGTAGTAGATTTATCTGCTGTTGCAATCCTCCTGTGAAAGTGCAAACGAGACCCTGAAGGATTGAGATCAGGAAACTGTGTGTTCCTTGCAAGCAAGGGGTTCATTTCCGTCATTCCAGCTGAAACACGCCGACGTTGCTTTGGCGGCCGCAGGATGAAATTGAAGTTGGGCTGGGGCCGAGCGTGCTGAGGTCGGCCAAAAGGGACGGCAGTCATAGCAACTTCGTCCGGGCGATGCTCAGCCGCGCTACGATTTCCATCCAGACCCATGGTTCACAAGGTTTTGGAACGACACCCTGAGCTTGCTGTTGAACGAGGAGAAAACAACCCATATCAACTCTCTTGGTCATTGCTTACAATCTGCAGAGAACAACAACATGTCTCGGAAAGGGACCTGTTACTTTTCAAAAAGCGGTTGCGACGATTACCACGTCAGAGGAAACAAAACCTTGCTCACCCAAAAAGAACACTGAAAAGATTTCAACACACCTCTTTCGACTGTGGTCATATCTGGAACTTGTAGTCCAGTCTTTCTGTGAGTGTGTTTACTCTCGAAAAACAGCACTGCCTCGTTACACACGGCTGATGGGCACGGGAAGAGGGGAGCCAAGAACCGGATAGATGCAGCCCATCCTCCAAATCTCCGTACCTGCTTCTTGCGTAGCTTCTCAAACCCGCTGCGAGGTTGACTGGGGTCCAATGGCTGATGATGCAGCGTGCGGACCTGTCATTAACCAAGGAGGTGTCGTGAGAAAGCCGAATCGAAATTGATGCATCGAAGTGCACTTTGCCTTGGATTCCCGTGGGAGCCCCAACTCCATCGGTATCACCCCGTCCGCATCTATCCCAGAGACTCGTCTAACCCCATGATTGCGGGCGTACGTCCCTGGAACTTGTTACACGTCTTCACGGCGAAGTAGGGATGCGCAGGAGTCTGGTGTGGACATTCACACACAGACTACAACCTTATGTATGTCGTATAATAATACAAATTCAAGCTGACTGACCTCGTCGATTTCTCGGTGAGCCTCATCCTTCCGGGCGCGATGATTTGGTGAAGGGAGGGCTGGCAGCCTGTCGGCGCAGCTCCTGCTTTCTCTACCTCCATCTGTGACACTCCTCTGAGAGGCAAGCAATGACTCGCGGCTGCTGTCGCCACCACGGCTAGTGGGCTTACCCTGGCAGTACGGTGCATCTGTTGTTTCTGGACGAGCGGCGACGACCGAAAGGCCTGGACCGGATAGGGGGAGGGAGGTTAAACTCACCAACACTCCTACATGATTTGTTCCGCGTCAACGTTGATAGTACGCTAGAAGTGTCATCGCATGAAGCAGAACGCAAGGCGATCTCCATCAATGACACCTCGTTGTTGGAGCGCGCGATCCTAACTGTACGCTTCTTCATGAACCACTGCGTGTATTCATTGGCGGTGTTGTAAGTACTGCCAACACCAATCTTCGTAAAGCTTTGTTGGTTTAGGTGGCGAACACGGGCAGCAATTGGCGCCAAACCAAACGCAAGAGAAGAGCATAGACTATATAACGAACCTTGCAACCACATGTACTTCCTACGCCCTCGACTGTAGACAAGCAACGCGTGCGGTCGTACCGGCTTGGCTTTTGATGAACGGATTCTTTCCGACAGTGAGTCTCGGCACCCCGAGAGCACCTAGCATGCCTTGCTCCGCCCGAGCAGATGCCATAGCGGTGCTAAGACTAGGAGACATGGCGGGAGGTTAGGCTGTCCAGTGACGGCCGCCGCCGCGTTGCGCCGTCGAAAACGGCAGTTTCAAGAGATCAGGGGTCCGGTCGGTCACGCGGACAAAATATGACAGTCCCGTGGGGAGGGAAAAAATGAAGACATGGAGGCAGTTGGGAGATGCACACCCATGTACAGCAGTAGTCCTGCGAGGAGGGAGATGGAGATGCACTCATCGTCGACAGTACTGCTGTGTGAACATGCATGCACCCGTTGGTACATGTAAATCTTGCGAGGAGGGAGATGGAGATGCGCTCATCGTCGACAGTACTGCTGTGTGAACATGCAGCACCCGTTGGTACACGTACATCTTGGCCTGTTCAAGAGTTTCTTGGTTTCGAATCGCCGTGGTCTGGAAAAGGATTCTGCACTGACTGGTGCAGTGCTACAGAGTAGCACTCAGATTCCCCTTTCTGTAGGCACCCCTCTACAGCAGTAGTCCACCCTACTGGTGCGTAGATCGCATAAGATACACCGGTGGTCCAATGTCAAAGGTCGATTACTCCATGATGAAAAGATGATGCCAACATCAAATAAAACTCCAGTACAATGTACCATTTTCGGAACGATCTCGACGAGACGGATGCAATGCGGCTATATGGGGCACCGTCTCTTTTTTCTGGCCGAGAGAGGTCGACCTTTGACTATCGGCCCGGGGGTCAACTTACATGACCTACTGAACGCCGGAGATAGATCTACGTGGACATACACTTAATTGGCTGCGATTCTTCTCTCAACCACAACAAAAACAAACATGTGCAGTTATTTTCTTCTGTTATATTCCTGTATGATGTATGGTATCTGTCTTTAATCCCCGGGAGAGTAGCGTCCACGCCCCCATGACGCTCAGTCACAGGGTCCCAGATCGTGCCCTGCAGAAGCATATTATGTTTTCCACCGTACTAATTAGACTGGCGTCGTTTCATCGGTCAGCCGGTTAGCGCGGTCGATGCTAATAAAAAAGACGCACACAGGCATACGCAAGGGAATGATACATAAAAGCAGCAAGCAACGGGGCTGAAACGAACACGAGAAAAAAGTACAGATGCCACGGTAGGCGTGTGTTTGTCTTCATCTGCTATCGTTTCTGTCCTTCATCCAGAGAATAACTGAGCCGCTCGCATGACGCCCCCTCACGCTGTCACAACAACGATAGTCTATGACCGACCCTGTTTTCACATTAACCCTGCCGTGTTTCTTCTGAATGGCGCAGCACGCCCCCAGAACCACACTCCACAACACAACAACACAACACACCGTCACTTCACACATGCCTAGCCTCCCCCTTTACCCTCTCCTCACCCGGATCATGGCCTTTACAAGGGTTTTCCGAATCTAACTGCGCGGAGACGGACATCGTTTCATTGATCAGCCGATTAGCGCGGTCGATGCTAAAAACAAGACACAACCACACACACACTTGGGTATCAGCTCCTCATGACGGGTGACAACGGTGATAGTGGCAGAGAGAAATGCTCAAACGTGCTAAGTTGCAGGCCGTATTTGACGGAGGCTGTTGCATACAACGAAAACCTATTCAGCAAACCCATCAAGAATACGTGCAGCAGGTACGAAGGCTTTTCGGAGCGCTCATCAGGAACAACCAACTGAACTGTCTGTCAGCATTCTCATCCGTTGGAATATATCAGAGCGAATGCACAGCCCGAAGAAGGGCGAGGAAGAACAAGCTTCTACCTCATAAATCAACACCCGTTGAATTCAAACCCCAGGAACAAAACGATCTCGACAATAACACTTTAGCTAAAGTACACGCGAACATGGTACACGTTGTGTGCTACAGACACGAACGCGGTGTAGACACCATCAACTGCACTTTTACGCGTCGGTTCAGTTGTACTCGAGTCGCCAACGGGGGCCAGTTCGAGGGCATGTCACACCCGATGCGCAGGTGCCCGTCAAAACGCTTGCATTGCATCGCACGGAAGGGAAACTTCAAACTCCGGCGTTTTTACTTGCCCAGATATTCACGGATCACACCGGAATATCTATGAGGTTGGGCTTGCTGGAGTTCAATGTCTCACTATCTCACACGCGCCCCATCGAGAAACCGATACAACACAACCACCCGAGAGTCTGAGACGGCGAAACATGCACTAGTCTCATGTCTAGATCGCCTGTCGTCCATCGCACACCCATGTCCGACTTAAAAAGCCGAACGTTTCTTCGAAAACATCCTTTTCCCAAATCCGGTAACACAAAAGAAAAATCGTGCACGATGGTCTCGAACATCAACCCACAACTCTCTTGTTGCCAAGACTGTAAGCCCTCGCTAGAATAGGTCCGTGAACAAGGTCTCTTCACGTGTCAAGGCTAGAGATCGCCGAGAGGCAAAGGAGGCGAGGAACACCTTCAGAGCATAAAAAAAAATGTAGGAGGAGGAGGAAGAGGAGGAGGTACATCCATCCTCTCCCACTAACCAGTCGTTCCAACATTACCCACGATCCCAGAAAAAAGGGAAAGCGCTACACCTCAGAAAGGCGAAGGATATCCAAGGTTTCCCAAGATTATTAAACCTTCAGCAACATAAAAGCAAGTGCCGTTTCCACACATACTGTGGACCGTGCCGCGGCGCCCATCTTTGCCTAGGAACTGGGTTTGAAACAACTACACTAGGTTTACCTGTAGCAGCCGTAAGTGTCGGGTCCCCGGGGCAACCCGGCCACCCTCTGCACACCAAGATTGGCGACAAGGACGGCCCAAGAAACGTGAAGATGTTGTTTCACACGCAATAAGAAGCACGGACCGTTCGTTCCTGAAGCGCCGTTCTTTCTTGGCTAGCCTATTTCACCAGCTTTTGATCTCTAGACCATTTTCGGTAGTCCCCGGCGACGGTGGATACGAAAGTGTTCGACACGTACTCAAGAACCTTGTTGTTAATCCCCAAGGCGGCCGACTTGACCAGAGGCTCCGGCGTCGCCGACAAGAGGCCTGGCATCTACGTAGCGTCCCATGCAAAAAACAGGCAAGGACAGGGGTAATGGGCACGGGGGGTCGCTAGCCACCGCGCCTCCAACAACACAAGGAAGTGGGTGCAGCATGTGCTGCATAACCAAATTTGGAGACCGTGTGCAGTGGGATGCCATCCATAACGCCGGTGCGTGTCCGGCACATCGACCGGGGCAGTTTCCCAGCAATCACCCACCCTATACAGGGCCATCGGCGCTAATCGTTATTGACGCCCTCCTACTGTATGTTGACAACCGCCGCAGAAACATCGCGGAGGGTTCCTGTGCGTTGGCATGGGCAACAATCAACTACATGTTCTGTTGTCCAGCGGCTCCTTGTAAGAACTAAGCCTACGCCGTGCTCGTCAGAGTGCGCACAATGTGTGAACCTGCTGTCATGCAACCCTCAACTGTGGTATCCTAGGCGTATTCACAAGGCTGCCAAATCTGAGCACGCAATATCCCCAAGGTGTGCTCCATGACTGTTGTTGGCCATTTCGAGAGGGGATAACCGAATAAACAAGGCTTGCCAGAAACAAACCACGCCAAAAACAGGTCAGGGAGGGTGCTAACCGCGACCCAAACAAACGAAAAACGACATCGATTAGTCACGAGGCCTCACCCATGTCGTAGCGGTCAGAGGAGTTATCTCGACCAGCAAACACAGCCAGTTGGTGCAGCGAACTAGATCGATTCTTTGCCGCAAGCCGGACCAACTAACGAGAGGAGCCAAACATTTTGCTTCGTACCTTGCCGCCTATTGTGACTGCCACGTCGCCACTCAAGCGCGTGTTCTTCAGGGACAGCGCCCTGACCTTGGTTACCGTCTCCTCCACCCTCAGCTTCCCCTCCAGCTCCAAAAAGAACGTGTCCACGAATTCCTGGCGAGCAGCACCCCCGATGCATGCAAGGTAGTGAAAGAAAGCCGAAATAGATTTGTTCAACCACCATGATCTATGTGAATACAGGCCGTCCCACCTTTTCATCGAATCCACATTCTAGGATACGATGAGTACTATCAGTCGAGTGGCGGCTAGCGTTCACGGATTCCTTGAATAGCCGTCTGAATATCACACGACGAACAGCCCACACCAGAAAAGACGGCAACATTGACAGTGGCTACGGTCGGCGTGAAGGACAGTGAGCCCACACCAGCGACTACATTCTTTTCATTGCCTGCGATCGCGAAACGTCTTGTGCAACAATGAGCACAAAATCCGCGCGGATTCCTGGCAGGACACAAATGAACACAAACAAGACTGATGCTTTTTCACCGCCTAGCCGTATGGTACGGGTGATGAAAAACAAGCCAACACATACAGATACATTTATAAATCATGCTATATATTCTGACAGGATTGCGGTCGTGTCGTCATACATTTCGAACTAATAGTATGGAAATATATATATATATACAAGGCGTCCCTCCGGAGTGGGGTAAAGAGAGCACCGCGGCAAGGGGCGATGCAAGAACATAGGAAAAGCTACCAGCAGAGAAACGACAGCAGTAAATACGTACGCATAGATAGCTTCGTATCAAAGGATTCGCGGCAGGTCGGCGCGAGCTCATAACATTTCACCGGTTTTCTGGATTTAGTTTGGTTGAAAGCCCGCAGCCGCGCGGATGGATGTGTATATGTGCATGCCGACCTCCCGACCTCGGGCTCGGCGGTCTGCACGGAGACGTGTGCTCTGCTCTGCATCTCTGCTGACACCGGCACGAGCTTTTTCATCGATACTCTACCGAGATCCTTCTGGAGGATTTTGGCTGCAACAAGAAGTTCTGTAGTTTCTGTAGTTTTTGGGTTGAAAGCCCGCAGCCGATCGGATGGATGTGAATATATGTGCATTGCATGTGCCGGCGTGCCGGCCTCCTGACGCGGGCTCGGCGGTCTGCACGGACATGTGTGCACTGCTCAGCATCTCTGCTGACACTGCCACGACACGTACATTGCTCTACGGCTGCTGGAAACTACATACATACTTGGGGCTGACTGCTGTGTGTAGTTCATTCAGCAGTCGGACTCAATCATGGCCTCATGGCCATCATCAGCAGAACGACGAATTGATTAAGCGGCGCCAGCTGGTCCGCCGCTGGTTGTTCTGACGTGCTTGTTGGTGTGGCCAACCAATGTTGGTATGTGGTTGAACGTGACAAACAGCTGTCATTGCGCACGTATTTGGTTGAAGCTGACGTCTTCTGCCGGGCTGTTCGATGAGACATGTCACGCCTGGCCCGACGCACGCCGCGACAGCTGCTGAGAATCAGTGCAAAGTCTTCTTACAGCCCTACGAATTTTTTTCACAGTCTTGCACAGTCCCGTGGAAAAAAATACCAATCTATAGATAGTCCTATATGGTAACTCGATTTTTGTTGTTGTACACGTGAAGTACGCTGGGTAAGACCGAAAACTAGCGCATCTTTTTGACTTCGGCTGCATGACACACCTCCTGCGACCTCGCGAACGGTAGTTGAATGCCACACCACCGGGTAAAGTGAAACGCTGCTGCTGTAGACAAGTCTTAGCGTATGCACCCGCGGTGTTGAACATGTTTTGTTCCGTGTTTGTTTTGTTTCGGATAAAACGAAAAAAAAATCTGTTCTCAGTCTGCTCTACTGCTGTAGACTACATCTACAGAACATTGTTGCTGTAGCGGGCACTGACACGTTCTCCAACAGGGCGTTCTCCGCGCTCAACGACGACATGCGGCCTTGCGTCCACCCGTGGCATGCATTCGTTGCTGCTGCCGAACTACAGAACACCGCGTTTGATGTGTTGTGCCTCCTGCTTGGGGGGGGGTGACAGAATATTTGCCTGCTTTGCTACCCACACCGATTGTTGTGTACGTGGGTGAAGAAAACTCATAATAATAGCGCATCTTTGCGACATCAGCTGCATGAGATACCTCCTGCTGCATGCCGAAGGGTATACTTCAATACCAGGCACCGGGCGAAGTGAAATGCTGCTGCTGTAGACACGTCTTACCGTATGCACCCGCAGTGTTGAACATGTTTTTTGTTTCGTGTTGATTCGGATTCAAGTTCTCTTCTCAATCTGCCATAATCAAAAACAAGGTGTTGTAGACTACATCGCCCGGAGACTGTTGAAGATTGGTGCTGCTGTAGCGTGCAGAGATGTTCTCCAACAGGACGTTCGCCGCGCTCAACAATAAACACGCGACCTTGCGTCAACATGTAGCAACAAAGTCTTCGTGCAAGGTGGTAGCCGATAGTTTGTTGGAGGTGACAATTCTCGATAGGTACTGTTGTCTACGAGCCTCAGATTCGAGGCCATAAGTTGTTCGAAAGCGTAGGTGACAACACCTCAGTCATACACGGAATGGATGTCATGTTCGATCTCATCCATGCACGCATTCCCTCCTCACAAAATTTCCCACACCCGTCTTTCTTCCGCTTCACGCTTGATGGTGATCGGGCATATCGACCTTTCATAAAAATTCCCCTGTTTCATGTTTTTTTTTACCACCGACTATTAACACCACGGACAGACGGACGTGAGGACCTCATACCGTCTGAGACTTACATCCTTCTTTCGTACCGATGTCATTATCGCCTCTACTTCCTCTGCCCATCATACTGCGGCACCCATCCCACGTATGCTCGCCGCCCGCCCCACTAGGGGGCGGGGGGCCAATCGTTCCCCCTAGTATATAGAAGTATATATAGAGAGTCCCATGCCATTGCGCGGGTAGCTCATGGCCTTGAACATGATATTGCCAGGATTCTACGTTGCACTGCGCTTTAGGCGAGTATGTTGTCAACGGCGTGAAAATTCTCGTTATCTAAACAAGCCGATTGCCACGGCAACATCTGCTGGGACAAGTCATAGACATGTCCACATCTCTGTCCTTGCAGCCAACACAGAGGTCAAGTCCTGAGCTGTTCCAAAGACCAAAAAAAAAATCTAGAAATACCTGGCCCAAGAGCTTGGCCATGTCGTCGACCGAGTAGCCCACCGACTTGCACTGGATCGTGCCGTCCTCCGCCGTCCACAGCTGGATATCTACCGACATATCGATCGAGATCGACAGAAAGCTCTGCCCCCTGAAGGCCATCCGAAACACGCCGTCCCCCATGTCCATGATATCCTTGTGCTCCCAGCACGCGTACACAATGCGGGAGGGTTCGCTAATGTACTCCAGCATGCTCTCCAGAGGAGCACCGGATATTGAAGCCTAGTGCAAGAGCAATATGGGAAAATGTAACAAGCACAGCAGCGTTTGGTATGCGGGTTTCGATGATAAATTTAAGCATCGACCACGCTAACCGCCGGACTCACACAATCGCACCACCAGCGAAAATGATAATATAATAGTGGGCAGGAGCAGCTTCGAGCAGGCTCGTGAGAGATGATATTGCAAAATTCAAACGGCCCCGCAGTTACTAATACTGGTAGCATAGTTTCGAAAGAAGGTGTCTTTCCCGAAACGTTCGTTGTTTTTATTTTTTCTGAATATGTATTAAGGAATAATAAAAAAACACACAGAAAGACTACCCAATGTATGACACACCCAGAAACGAATCCATCTCTACGTATTCTACATACATCGAACCCCAGCCCTAAGATTTACAGTAGCAATGGATATTCACAGCGTCACCGGAACATGTACCTGAATTTCTACGGTTTCCCGAGCAGCACACAGCGATATCTCCCCTGTGGGTGAGAGGCTCAACAAGACAGTCTGGTAGCCGTTTTTTCTCCCAGCAAAGAACACGTCACATATGACGCATCACACACGAGCAGCCCGCAAGTACGTGGCGCACACGTACATACACGTTGCCGAGCGGGAACACGTGACGTCCTGAGCCCGCATCATTGTCATGGCAACAACTTGCAGGCTCGGCTGCTGTTGTGTGTACATACATTGGTTGCAGAAAATATATGACAATAACAGAGAGCACGCAATATGAAGTATGGCGGCTCCAAACCTTCGAACAGGGTCTCGCTGCTGCGCTAAGGGTCAGGCGTGTCTGTTCGGAGACTGGGAGCACTTTTCTTGCTGCCATACATTGCATACACTCCTCTATGTAGACTTGAATATTTTCTTTCTGACGGGCGATGAGTCACCTCCTGCGTTCGCTGGGGTCTTTCACGCCCGTCAACACGTTATCGCCCCAGCCCTGTCTCTGCTGTATTTCCTCCCGGTTCAGCAACAGCACACACACGTAGCAGTACCGCCGTAGTTAGAACAAAAACGCTGCCCCCTAACCTGACTCCTTGCTCTAGTGATGTACTCCCCCTTCTCCTGCTGTGGTACACTCACCTCAACGCGCTGACCGCTCCCAAACTCCACCATGCCCCCATCCTTGAGCTTGAATTGCTCGCTCGTTTTTTCCGCTTTCGTCCTCGGAGCTGGCGCCACCGAGCTCGCCATCGTGACCGCCATGTGGCGCCGGTGGTCTGGGTGGCCTCCCGACCCAGATGTAGACACAGCAGCAGGTCGGCAAGGTGCTGAGGCAGCGATGGGTATCAACCCCATCCCGCCGGCGGTGTTGCTGGGCACGAACGCAGCGCACACATTCAGCAGCCCACACACCAGAGCTACCGGGGAGTGTGGTCTCAAAACCATAATGTTACAGTTGGTTAACGTGGCCACGTGTCACTGCAGGCGAAGCTGGTACTCCGATTGGTACCCACGGATCGGGGCGCGAGCGATGGACTGCTCACGAACCTCTTCATCACAGTCTATTTTTTTTCACACCGGCGAACTCGATCTCCGATCTCGTAGATGCGATGCGGCGAAATTCGGGTGTGTTGGCACTTCGCTCACATTCAACAAGTGTGTGTCAGCGCGCGTGCTGCGGCTGCTTCCCATGCACCGCTTAGGGCACGCTTTGCTCATCGGGCTAGCGAGTTCGCGGCTGGCTAGCTGCTTCATTCGAGGTCCTGCCCTTCAGCACAGGTGGTTCAGCGATCTCGCTACAAACTGCAACGACATACGCCCAGCGGCTGCTTGCGTGTGTGCCGAGCGAATTGGTTGCCCACGAGTTCTGCTGGGTACAGCGCACACATCACGAGTCAGAGTAAAACAGGTGGGTGGTGTAGCCGGGGTAGTTGCCGCGCTTTGAGCTTGTCCGGTTGGTGCATTGTTGTCAGTGCTGCCAGGCTGGGCATTTTTTACATCCAGCACGGTCGTCCTCTGCATCTAAAAAAAACAACTGTCATGTAGACTAATTCACCCGGGTGTGGACCTGCTGTATCATGTGCATCGTGGTGTTTTTGAAACGAAGTGGCGCGCTGCTATTGATCAGAGAGTGTATGCGAAGTAAATGCTGGTTTCCGTGGGCTCCGCCACAAAGCAGTGGCAGCGATACCGAGGCGTTGGTTTCCACGACGAGAGTGCCGCACTCCACAATTTCTGATCCAGTCCAGATGACCAGCGTAGCGCCACAAGCTGTCGGCACGCTCAACGAAAAGCTGCCCTATTGAGATATTTACGCTCTGCAACCCAACGACACCATTCGCACCAAACAATGCGGCTCGCCTGTTAAACCACGGCCTTGGTCGATTGCGGGCAGCAGCCCCTATGCTGACTATGCTTCTGCGCTCAAGGCAAGTTGCACACGTTGGTTCGCGAGATGAACAGGCTTTCAACGACAGCAGCGGCGGTAGCGGCAGCAGTAGCGGTAGCAGTAGCAGCCCTGAGGCGGACTCATCGGAGGTGGCGGCGGCGGCTGCAGCAGCAACAACCGAAACCCTAGCCGGCGGTGCCACGATGGGACGGGACAAGACCCTACTGGCCGGAATAGAGCTCGGGTTGGATGTGCTGGGCAGCAGCACGCAGTGGGCCGTGGCTGGTGCGGTGGGCGTCGCGCTAATAACGAGAGCCGACGTTGATACACTGGTGTATGTATTGGGGTCCCTCATCAATGCGGTGTTCTCCAAAGTTTTGAAGAAGACCATCAATCAGGTATGAGTTCCGTGTTGCGGACGCGTTTGCCCGATTGGGTGTCAGCCTGGTGATTCAGTCACTCCTACTCTCTCAGCTCCTCAAGAGCCCATCTTCATGCAGGTGGACGGCCGACAGCAATACTGGCTAAATGACTTTCCATCGGGAACTAAAATATTGTAAGTGCTCGTGACAGGTGCGCCCGGACGGGGCCCAGCTTTCAGACCCAGGGATGCCGAGCTCGCACGCCATGGTGAGTTGTTCTGAGCAGCCGCATAGAGGCGAGCAAGGAAACAAATCCTGCTGGTGCACGGACGTCTGTCAGTGGACACCACATTGTCCGCCTTTTGGCGACCCTGGAGCTCAACGGACCGGGTCTTGCTGTCCTCCTTCTTGTTTGGTGCCTTGTGTTGCTTGGTCGCCCGTTGGAAATCGTCGCCCGTGAAAGGTGGATGCGGGGTCTGGAGTGGGGGACAAAACTCTTCCAAGCGGTGTATAGTTGAACATTCTCCCACATTCCACTCTGATTCTGGGCCACGAGGCCAAGAAGGTTTGAAGCTTTATATCGAAAACCCCTCGTGAAAGGACGGTGTATCCGCCCACAACAGCTGACCCCCCTCCCCCGCGCGCACCGCGATTGCCGTCACCGCCGCCTCGCTACCGTGAACCTCTCGTTTTGTGCTCGTTTCGTCGGCTCGCTCGACCGCCGTCAGTCATTGTTTTACCTGGGAACGTACCTCGTGATTGGTCTTCAGGAGCACGGGGTGTTGTTGCTGCACCCGTCTTTGCCGCCATGGCCTCTTGGCGTCACGCAGACGCAGACGCTACTTGGCATGTACGCCTTGACGGCCAGGTAGGGGAAGGGCAGTAGCGACGGCGCATGCTAGAGGGGGCTTCTCGGGTATGCACTGATCCAATGCACATGTTGTGATCCAGTTACTGTATGGGTCACACTCCAGTAGCTTCCATCTTTCCACGTGCGGAAAACCGATCGAGGGCAATGACATCGCTTGCAGGTGGATCGCGAAGTTTTATTCCCGACCACACCCCCCCCATTTCCTGTTCCCTTGTTCCTCCATCATCGTTTGACTAGTATTTCGCACACACGACACACGTGTTTCCTTCTCTTCCTCGCTAGAAATTTTCCAAGTGCAGCCCCCAAAGGTTTCGGGTTCCTCCTGACTTTTGTCCTGGGCGTTGTTACCGTTGATACTTCCTCTGTTTTGAATTTCAGTCTTTGGAGGGTCAAAGCGGGGTTCCATACTCTTCCGCAGGTTGCTGTCGGAGCTGCAGTGGGAGCAGTGGACGCGGTTCTTTGGTACCACCTCTGTCATCCTTATTTATTGTCGCAGGCAAGACTGGGTGTCGTATGTGCTGTAGATGCTGCTGGCGTTGGGGGCAAGGAGTAGGGAGTACTGCAGTGAAGTTCAGCTGGTTATTAAGCCGTGGCCGACAGCTTGGGATATCAACGAGCAAGGTACAGGGTGAGGTGAGAGTGATTGCTGGGTGCGTCTCTCTCACTCACGCGAAAATAGTAAATATTTTGTTTCCTGACGAATCATCCCCCGCCGGTGTTACTTGCTTCGATTCCAGGTGGAGACTGCCTTTGGAGGACCCAATATTCCGGTGGAGCTGGGTTTCGCTGTGTGCTTTGTTACCTTTTTGACGTTTGGAAACGCGCAACGAAAAATCTCCCAGGTTCTGGGGAGAAGGAAAGACGACTAGTCATGGCATACATCTCAATTGATTATGATCTACAAGTTGAGTTTCGTGCATTATCTTCTACCTTTTTTGACAAGCATCGTGCCAAGCTTGATCATGCCTCACGTTTTAGTTAATTCCAGATGGTGCCTTCGCTTGAACTCATGAGAGATTTGGCTGCTCTTCCCGTCGATCGTTGTTCACAAGGGCTTGGCGCGCTTGCGTGATGTTTTACCGTCGTTTGACATGCCAGCACCATCGATGGCCTTGAGCTGTTGTGGCGCCTCGGTGCGCCACGATTTCAGTGTCAGCCCCCATGTTTAGGGAGTTCTCGACACAGCAGTACACATGCAGCAAGTCGCCGGTCGGCCTTGGATACCGCGAGCCGGCCGCCCTCGAACCAGCGTGGCAAGCGTCCACTTGGGATGGAAAAAATCAACTATTAAAATCATCAACGCGGCAGGCAAGAAACCGGGAACACCTCCCGATATCGCTCCGTCCCGGCATTGTAGGGGCGCGAGGTCTGTGGTGTACCGACTATGGCATGCGTCAACATGAACACCGCCTAGCACATCCCCCCCGACACCAAAGGACTAACCCCTTTTTTCAAATGGTGGTCTGTTCGGGTACGCCGGGAACAGGGTTTTTGTCCTGCCGTGGTGATCCGCACGTCTACATTCATGCACTCGTCATACCGTGCTTATCGCAAAGTTGTAGTGCGGGTCTCTGCCCTGGACGTTGCAGTCGTGGCACACCCAGTCTTCCCGTGCGTGCATTGCTTTGGCGGAAGGGACAACGCGGAGGGCGGAGTGATTGCGATCTCCCTCCTTCTGCGTTTCACCTCCCCCTCAATGGTCTAACCGCTACGGCATGCAAAACGTTAGAGTACGCTCGCCTTGCCCGGCCCAGTATTGCCACCAACATCCAGAGTTAGATCAATACGGAAAGATGAACGCACTGGATAGAGAGATCGGAACGACACCAACAACAACAGCAATTCTTGTGTGCGCGCCTCGGTTCAGTGCCACACCCCCGATGCAAAACCTCCGCACCTGCCGGTGCCCTGGCCAGGACACTTTATTCGCATTTTGTTTTTTCAGCTGTTTTTGTCTTCCTCGTGCGGAGACGTGTGGCTCAAAATACTTCTTACATTTGTCGTTTGTCGTTGCACCCGACTACCTGAGAGGACATTGGTCGATACCTCCTCAACCTGGCACGTATCTAGCATTCCCGAATCTGGCACCTTCCCACGGTGCACTGACCTCACATCTACTCGGATTTTTAGTGTTCCAACCAGGATGCCAACAGAGCGATATCCCACCGCGGTGCGATAACACCGTGCCCGGTGCGAAAATTGTTCTTTTGTGCGCACTTCGGTGTCATCTCCCCGAGGGGTGCGCCGTACATGCAGGTGCCCTGGCCCGCACAATATTTATTGGCTTGGTTTCCGCATGGGTGCAGAAAAGTGGCTCAAAAGATTTCAAATTGTTGAATGCGCCCGACTCCCATGAGAGGATATGAGTCGACACCTCCTACTGAAGCACGTATCCAGCTTGCATTTGCAAATCTGGCACCTTCCCACGGTGCACTGACCCCACATCTACTGGGGTCAGGGGTCTAACGAGGATGCAAACAGAGCTTTATCTTGCCTTTCACGATTACGATAACACCACCTTGTGCCCGGTGCGAAAGTCGAACAAAATGGCGAACTCTCTTCTTGAACCCCGAAGCAGCAGTAATATTTGCAACCTGTTAGTGACTCCTATCTAAGCGGTTTCACGCCCTCTGATTGGTCCGGCATTGGTTCCGGGTGGTCGGGTGAGGAACCTAGCCTTGAAAAGTGCAACATCGGTTAGACCTAAAAGAGTCACTAACAGTGTAAATAGACCTCTCCCGAAGGTTGCGAAACTACCGGTATACGCACAGGTGGAGGTCGGATTACCAATCGTGCGAAAGGATCTTTAGGGGGTTCGGGGGTAGGGTTTCCGGAAGGTTCGGAAAGCATGCCGTACTTTTTGGGCGCGCGCGCACGCGGTTCTTGACGGTTTGGAGGTGGTACTCGGCTAGCTCAGCTCTGCTAGCTTGCACACTGAAGCCCGAGCTGTGCAGGCTTGCAGAGCCCGCCTGCTCGTATGTTCAGTGGAGTATGTTCCTGCGCGCACAGGGGACTCATGGTGTGTAGGGGAGGAGAAGAATGCTGCTAGAAAAACATGTCAGGACCGCCGAAAGCAATCAATTAGTCTACAATGTAGACTGTTGTCGGGGGCACCGATTTGTATGTGCGCGCTACCGGGCTGCCGGCCGTTCGGTAGGGCGTGTACTGCTGCTGTACGAAGAGCGAGTGGAATATCTAGCTGAGTCTAGGTGCTGTAGGTCTAGGCCTTTGCACAGCTTCGAGATGACCGGAACCGCTTTCTGCGCTGGCTGTACACGAAAGAAACAACCGATTGCCCCGCAACGCTAGAGGTAGGCGCATCAGCAT